ACTAAGCTGTATCATTTCTAACTTTCAGGTTAAAGTGATAAATGTGTGACTCTTCCTTTCACTTGAACACTTTGGGGGCAACTGTAGGATTATTAATTGACCCATTTTTAATATTATTGTCTCTCAAAGAATAGGGAGGTTCAAGGAAAGGGAGAGAGATGGGGAATGGCCAGTTGGTGGAGCAGTCAGAACACACAAGTATTTGCTGATTAAGTTTGCTGTCTTATAGGAGCATGAGTGATGATCCCCCAAAAAATTTACAATAGTGAAATCAAAGGTCAGTAATCAAAGAGCACATAACTGATATAATAATAATTTAAAAGTTTGAAATATTACAAGAATTACCAACAGGGACAGGAAGTGAGCACATTCTGTTGGAAAAATGGTGCCAACAGACTTGATATACGGTTGCCACAATCTTCACTTTGTAAAAAACAAACAAACAAATAAACACGCACAATATCTGCTAAGTGCAATAAAGTGAGGCACAGTAAAATGAGGTGTGCCTGAAGACACTGAATTGTATATGTTAAAAGGATAATTTTGATCTCAATGAGAAACAATTAAAGAAAGAAAATATAAATGATGGATAAACTTAAAAACATCCAATGTTTCTAGCAGTTGAAGAAATGCAAATCAAAACAAAAGATAATTGCACTGGAAGATAATTTTAAAAATAAAAATAAAAGCTGACAAGAATATTGATCTCGTTTACTGCTGTGAGAACTGTAAACTGAGTTATCCTTTCTCAAAAATTATTTGGTGATAGTATCAAGACGCTTAAATGATGATTCGGTTTCATTTTGTCATCCCAATTCTAGGAATCTGCATTCCATATTTGGTAGAACATATGGAATGAGGAACTTTACCATTTATTATAAACCTCCTTTTCCCTCTGAAGTGGGTAGGAATAATGATTCTCATCCTTACCCTGGGTCCAATTTGGACTCTACTATTATAGTCAGCATTATTTCTGTTTTCTTACTTCTGCTACTCTACTCCATAGCCACTGGACAGAAATGTGAGAGGTTCTATCTATGTTTTGTTTTTAATCTCATTCTTTGTAAATTGTCATTGTATGTGGATTATTACTAATGTATATGGAAGTACTACAACATGTAAATATCTACAAATCAATGCTAAAATGTATATTGGAAGTGCAGGCTCATCAAATTGTACTGGAGGGGTATACTATCTAAAAATATTGGGGATCAGCTCAATTTCCCACAACGTGTTGTCTCTACACAGGCTAAAATGGCTACTTTACTACTTCTAGTACATCTTTTCATTTCTGAGCTTGGTTTATAACCAGTCTGTTTGTTAGACGATAAGCTAGCATGTAACGATCAGGCAGTCACTCTTCCCACTTTTAAAATTGTAACTTGTATATTGACCACCAACCCATAACCCTCACCAAAATGTAAGCTTCTTAAAAGAAGAATCTGTACTTGGTCCATCATTGTACCCATACCCAAATCCAACATCACCCACACAAATGGGTTTTCCATAGTAATTTGTACATATCAGGTCCTAAATAAATGTTAGGTGAATGAATAAACTATCACAGAGATTGTCATTGGGAGGTAGGAGAGTACAATAGAGAGCATAGACAAAGATACTGGCTTGGTCACCTACAAATTGGATAACCCTGGGCCTCAGATTCTTTTGTTGTAAAACAGAGGTCGTAAGAGTGCCTTTCTCAAGGAGTGTTGTAAGGATTAAATTAGTTAATGAATGGAAAGCACTGAGAACATAATAAGCACTTCATAGCTATTAGTATTATGGTCTCCCCAAGACTTAACACTGTAATGTTTGCAAAGCATCTAGTACACGCTGAGTGAATGAGTAACTAAATCTGTTCTGCCAGTCATGTTGATATTACTAATTCATTGAGACTTTCTTTCTCCTTCCCTCAAATTTATCACCTTCTTTGTACAGAAAACATTCTTTTTTTTTTTTTTTTTTTGAGACAGAGTTCCACTCTTGTTACCCAGGCTGGAGTGCAATAGCACGATCTCGGCTCACTGCAACCTCCGCCTCCTGGGTTCAAGCAATTCTCCTGCCTCAGCCTCTTGAGTAGCTGGGATTACAGGCATGCGCCACCATGACCAGCTAATTTTTTGTATTTTTAGTAGAGACTGGGTTTCACCATGTTAACCAGGATGGTCTCGATCTCTTGACCTCGTGATCCACCCGCCTCGGCCTCACAAAGTGCTGGGATTACAGGCTTGAGCCACCGCGCCCGGCACAGAAAACATTCTTAAAGTTACTGTGGAACTATTCAGTTGGACTGATTAGCTGTGTTCTCTTCCATGCCTTGTGAATTAACCTCCTTAAAAAGAATAGCTATGTTTTCTTTGTTGAAAATAGTACCATTGGTGCTGCTGATGTTCTTGTTTTGTGTGTTAATGCGATAAGCTCCTCTATATTCCCCCACCAAAAAAAAAAAATGTATCATGACTCTGTTGGATAAAACTCTCCTTTTATTGAATTTTTAATAGCATCTTCTTTTGCAGTTTTACACACATATAGTTATTTATAAACGTTGAACTAGCACTAGTTTTTCTGTCTAATAAAATTATATGAGAAATATGATCTTGACTCAAAAGATTAATCTAGTAGCATCATCTAATGCAGACAATGTTCAAATTAGCAAGAAATGTAAATGGAGCAATTCGCATTTACTGTGCATTACTTTTTTTTCCTGTCAATGGGCAAAATCAGAGACATCTGGATTACAATTTATAGTGTAGTATAATATTTCTTTGAAGTTCTCATATTCCTACAAGAGGTATAACACTAAATTCCTCAAGGCATCATGACACTTTGGTATGAGTATATGGAAGAGACAGTAGAGTAAAAGAAGGGACAGATTAGACAATTTCTCCCATCTTATGAACATTTGAAAGAGTTTTCCTTTGCTATTTGGAGTTTCAATCTGATTGAAAAAAGACAGATTATCTATTAAAACAAAACATCAATCATATTGTGTTAACACAGTTCTGAAACCTTAGAAAAAAATAACTCTTGCAGATAACATGGTTGTTTATGTAGAAAATTCCTAATAATCAACAACAGACTTCTAGAACAAACAAGTGATTATAGTAAAGTTGCAGGACACAGGTTAATATACAAAAATCAATTGCTTTCCTATATACCAGCAATAAACAACTAAAATTTGAAATTAGAAACATACCATTTACAATAGCACTAAAATATGAAATACTTAGGTATACATCTAACCAAATATTTACAGTCTTTATATGATTCAAAGCACAAAGCTCTGATGAAAGTTTGCATTTTCAATCACATTTGTCACATCTTCTTTTGCAGAGTTTTACACACATATAATTATTTAGAAATGTTGCCAAATTAATACTTATTGGTTCTCTGTCTAGATGATATAATTAAATGATGAAAAAAATTTAAAAAGAGATAGTTCATGATAATGGATAAAAAGACTCAATATTGTTAAGATGTCCATTAAGATGTGAGTTCAGATACTGCAGCAAAGCAGACATACAAATGGCATTAATTATCTGAAAAGATGGTCAACATCATGTGTCATTATGTAATAGAAAATTAAAACAACACTGAGATATGACTACAAACCTATTAAAGTATTGTCAAAATCTGAAACATTGATAATACCGAAGCCTGTCAAGGATGGAAGGCATTAAGATCTCATTCATTTTTGGTAAGAATTCAAAATGGTACAGCCACATTGGAAGAAAGTTTGGCAGTTTTGTACAAAGCTAAACACAGTCTTACCATATGATCCAGCAGTCATACTTGTAGCTATTTACTTGAGTTGAAAACTTATGTCCACACAAAATCCTACATGTACATGTTTATAGAAGCTTTATTTGTAATTTCTAAATATTGGAAGCAACTGAGACATATTTTTCAGTCATTGAAGAAAGAAACTAATGGTGGTATATGCATTTAAATAGACTGTTATCCAGCAATAAGAAAAAATGAACTATGACAGTACAAAAAAAAAAAAAAACCCATAGGGGAAGCTGTGATTCACATTGCTAAGTGAAAGAATCCAGTCTAAAGAGACTACATACAGACTACATGATTCCAACTGTATGACATTCTAAAGAAGGGAAAACTATAGAGAAATAAACAAATCAGTGGTTACTAGGAGTTCAGGGGAAGAAAGGGAAGGATGAGTCAGTGGATAGGGGATTTGTATAATACCTTATGATTTGTATGATATGTAATCATGGATATGTCATGTTATACATTTCTCAAAACCTAAAAATGTGTAAAACATAAAGAATGAACCCTAATGTTAACTATGCGCTTCAATAATAATGTGTCAGTGCTGGCTCATCAATCATGATAAATGGACCATACTGATGTAAGATGTTAAGGGAAACAGTGCAGAGAAAGAGAAAGTATATGGGAATTTTCTACTTTCTGCTCAAATTTTCTAGAAACCTAAAATGGCTCTAAGGTATTAAATCTATTAATTAGAAAAGCTTTACCCACCATGAATAGAACATTTAACTCACAGTAAATTATAGATAACACATAGATATAAAATACACACATATAAATAACTATGCATATACATACACACATTCAGATAAAATATGCATCTATTCACCATAAGTCTTAAATATTTACTCTGTTATTTTCCCTCTCAATGTAATGCTTCTACAGGGACTAACATGGTAAATGGGAAGTGAGTAAATGAGTAAATGCAGGCAGTGATACTGAATTATGCTTAGGAGAAATTTAGTAGTGAAGGGAAATAGGACTGAAATGAGTAGTTGTGAGAATCTTAAGAGTCTAGGAAAGAATTATTTTTAAGCTACATAATTATGTCAACTATAAAAATATATGGTTAGTAGCTCATTGAATTTTATTCTGTAGTTATATCACTTTCTTGTCAAGAAAGATGAATACTTGATTATAAAACTGCATACCAAAATAGTTCATATTTTCCCAATGCATGAAAAGGTGAGGAAAACAAAATAGGCACATACCAATAATTCATCGATGCTGATCATTAGAACACTCTCATATTGTTTGCCATCTTTACCTTCAATATCACAATCAGATGATGCTACTGGCAACAGAGCAAGGATCAGGGGAGGAAGTCCAAAGATATACCTAAAAGAAACTAAATTCAACAGTAAATAAGAATGTGCTAAATGTTATATCATATTGCATTTGATTGTGGAGTTTCATGGATGGGACCACTTATTTCTAATACTTTAAAAAATACATATCGGTTTAGAGATAATACAGGAAGAGCCCCAAAAGTTGAACTTATGTAACAACCAAGGTGGAACAGCATTTTGGAGTGTAGCATCTTTTCACTTTTTTATTTTGCAATTGCTCATGAGAAAAGTGCAAAGCAAGTGTGATGAAATCAGAGACTGCTTTTGAAAAACACTCCAAGATGTTATTCAATTTGGATTTATGTTAAACATCCCTGTAAGGAAAGGAATCTACAGGTACAGAGGTGCACTATAGTTTGAAGAGTTATTGTTGGAATTTTATGATGTACTGCAAGTAATTGTATGTTTTTGTAAAACTTGATTGTAGTCTGTATGTCTGTTTGCTTCTTGTAGGCAGCACTATGGGAGGCTCATCTCCCTGGGATTGTACTATAAATGCACTCTTTCTTTTTAATAATGAACCCTGAAGGGCTTACATTCCCAAAACTCTTACAAATACTATGTTTGTATTTTGGGACTCCTTTCCTATTCTTTCACTATCTTCTGTCTGAGTGGCCAAAGACTCAGATTCTTTTCAAACACAGTGCTGTCCAGCTTCTTGCCATGTTAGAAAAACTCAGTCAATAAATTCATATCCTGGTAACCAATGATTTCTGTTTTTAATAACTCTTCCCAATTAGGAGCAATTGTCTAATCAAAAGGACTGAAAAAATAAATGTTATTATTTCAGGCAGAAAGATGGAAAGCCAGTGATTCCCACAAACATTAAAATCTGGCCATTCAGGAATCTATTTCTTCATAAACCTGCCATAGTGTCCTGTTTGTATCTTTTTGTAAATTCTGAGGTACGTTGACAATATATTTTCTGTGAATTTCTCAAATGAACTTTAATTGTACTTTAATACAAGACATTCCACTTGCATGCCTTCTCTGATTAAGAGTACAAACAATACTCCTTAAATCCCAGTGAACTAATATTGTGACAACAGCCTGAAAACTGTTAAGGATATTTTAAGGTTTCCAGTAATATTGTCATCTATTATATCATGATCTGTCATATAAAAAATCAATAGCACTCCCAAATAAATCAAGTGACCCATATTGGTACAAATAGAGAAAATTGTCTGAGTATGAAAACAAACATAAATCTAACTTCTCATTTGCATTTGTGACATCATAAGAGAAATAAAAATCTTAGATTTTTATTTATACAAATCTATTCATAACTCTGCCACTAAGTGCCTATATGCATGATGAGAATGAATTAACTTAGGAGACAAGTAATGATGATAACACTAGTTACCTTTAATTAGTACCTACCATGTGCCAGCAATTTCATATATAAAATCTCTCTCTCTCTCTCTCTCTCTCTCTATATATATATATATATGTGTGTGTGTGTATGTCTGTGTGTGTGTGTGTGCGCATGCATGTGTGTGTGTGTGTGTGTGTGTGTGTGTGTGTGTAATTTATAAATATCAAAAAAGTCCTACAAGTTAGTCTTTCTGTAACACATACATAGTAGGTGCCAGGTCTGGATGCTAACCTGAATTTGTTGCTTTACCAGGATTTGATTAGAAATGACCATAATCTATTGAAAACATGTTATTACATTTGTCATCTGAATGAAGTTTTGCCTCTCTCTTCTACTACTATTCCTTCATCCCAAAGATCCTCATTGATCAATTGCTATTTTAAAAAGTTGGTAATTAAACAAGTGTACACTCATAGATTTAAGGGGTACCAGAGTATATTACTAATAATACATATTTAATATACTGTACAGTGGTAAAGTCTGGGCTTTTAGTGTACCTACCACTTGAATAGTTAACATTGTACCAATAGGTAATTTTTCAATCCTTATGCCACTCCTACTCTCCCACCTTTCAGAGTCTTCAATGCATATTATTCCACTCTGTATATCCATCTGTACCACTGTTTAGCTCCCACTTATTAGTAAGAACATTCAGTATTTGACTTTCTGAGTCAATTCACTTAGATAATGGCCTCCAGTTTCATCCATTTTGCTGCAAAAGACATGATTTAACTCTTTCTTATGGCTGAGTAGTATTCCATGGTATACATATAACACATTTTCTTTTTTTTCCCCCTCTCTTTTTGAGACAGGGTCTCACTCTGCTGCCCAGGCTGGAGTACAGTGGCATGATCATAGCTCACTGAAGCCTCAAACTCCTTGGCTCAAGTGACCCTCCTACCTCAGCATCCTGAGTAACTAGGAATACAGTGGTGCACCACCATGCCCAGCTAATTTTTTAAAATTTGTTTTTAGAGGAAGGGTCTCACTATTTTGTGCGGCTGGTCTTGAACTCCTGGGCTCAAGCAATCCTCCCGCCTCAGCCTCCAAGTGTCAGAGTTACAAGCATGAGCCACCACACCCAGCCATACCACATTTTCTTTATTCAGTCCTCTGTTGATGAACATTTGGATGATCAACTGCTAGTTATTTACCAGATTCTGACCTTGTAATCAGATTTGTATGGATTGTATGGAATCATACATTTTTTTCTGACATCTTACAGGTGTCCAAAAGGTGTATTTTGGGAAGAATAGATGATAGGGAAAAAATTGTATAACATATAACTTGAAATGAGCTTAAAGGAGAATATAATAAAATAATTAACTGCGAGAGTGAAAGAGATACTTTTACCATTATCATAAATGTTATTTCAAAGGTCCACCTTCTGTTTTAATACATGCTGTTATTTTACTTTCTATGAGCACTAGCTGTCTTTTTCACTCCAATTTTCAGTAAAGTGACTGCACCCCAAATTCATATCAACCTATTTATTCACTGGATGGCATTTTCTCCATTTTTTTTTTCCAGTGAAAGTTTGGTGTAAAATTCAGTCTTTTTGTGTATTACATGTGCCTTCTCAATTTTAAAACATAATTTGCCTTGCCTGTAGAGAGTGTTTTATGTTGCCATTGCTGTCATCAGATAATTAGCCCCAGACAGTCTATGACAATGCAAAGCACAGAGGTTTTGGAATATAGACATTTGAGACTTTTGTCTTGTTATGACAATGGTTTGTGTGACTGTGTAAGTGACAGAGCATCTCTTAAGCTCCACTTACCTGGTTTCCAAAATGAAAACATTAGAGTAAATAACCTTTTTGTGCAGGCTAGTTTTGAACTCCTGGGCTCAAGCATCTTGCAGATACCTTATTCTAAGAATCTAGCTGGCTATCCAAATGCAGAAACCCTTTAGATCTGAAATTGCCTCAGGGACAATGCTGTAAACATACCCAGGGCCTTGGACCCACAACTCACAGATTCCCAGCTGTCTCATTAATGATGTGTAGCTTGATAGTTTGGTCTGTAATTGAAGACCTTTCTCCTATATCACATAGGGAGTAACATATTAAGACTGGCTGGTTTGAGGGTTCTTTTGATATTGTTGTCACACCCACTCCCCAACATCCTTAACTTTTCATTAGCTTACAGAAAAGATAAACAATAAGGAATAATGCAAGGCAAGCATGGGCTTGTGGGATTGCCCTTATATCTCCTGAAGGGATTGAAACTGGAAATTTGTTTTTAGTAGAGAATTTGGTTAAACCAGAATGAGGTCTATCTAAAAATTCTTGTTGATTTTTAATGTAAGCCAAATAATACATTCAATACTCAGCTACTTAAGTTAGAGGAGTCAAAGTGCAGATAAATAGTTTTCATCCATCAACTCCATCTTTATCAGTTTTTAAAACCAGTGTTTACTGAATGTCCATTGCATAGACCTATTTTCACTAATAATTTAATTCCATAACCACTTCATGAGGAAGTAGTTAAGTACAAGTTATTCACAATTATAGATGCAGACTCCGTGGCACCAAGACAGTTATATAGGAAAATTCCTTTTGTTTTTTTTCTAGATGGAGGCTCACTCTTCACCCAGGCTGGAATGCAGTGGTGTGATCTCAGCTCACTGCACCCTCAGCCTCTAAGGTTCAAGCAATTCTCCTGCCTCAGCCTCCCTGAGTAGCTGGAATTATAGGCACCTACCACAATGCCCAGCTATTTTTTCTTTCTTTTTTTTTTTTTTTTTGATGGAGTCTAGTTCTGCTGCCAAGCTGGAGTGCAGTAGCACGATCTCGGCTCACTGCAACCTCTGCCTCCCTGGTTCAAGTGATTCTGATGCCTCAGCCTCCCAAGTGGCTGGGATTACAGGCATGCGCCACCACACTGGGCTAATTTTTTTGTATTTTTAGTAGAGATGCAGTTTCACCATCTTGGCCAGGCTGTTCTTGAACTCTGGACCTCATGATCCACCTGCCTTGGCCTCCCAAAGTACTGGGATTACAGGTGCCCACCACCATGCCCAGCTAATTATTTTATATTTTTAGTAGAGACAGCGTTTCATCATGTTGGCCAGGCTGGTCTCGAACACCTGACCTAAGGTGATGCCCCTGCCTCGGTCTCCCCAAGTTCTGGGATTATAGGCTTGAGCCACCATGCTTGGCCAGAAAATTCCTAAATATAATATAGATATGGGATTCAAATCCAAGTTTATCAGGTTGAAGAGTTAGAACCTCAGCTTTTAGGCCTAAACTACACTGCTTCCATAAAAAATAACCATACATATGTAGTCAAGGGGAATGCAGAAAAATCCATCTTCCTCTGCATGAACCTCACTAAGGTACTTCCTGGCCAAACTGTGAAACTGCATCATGTGCTCTTATTTCAGAAAAAGACACTAAATTAATTTCTTCTTATTACAGTAGGTTATGTGTCAGGGTTAAAACAAACAAACAAAAAGTCACAAACATGAGTGTGAACATGACATGTAAATTTGTTCTATGAAATGGCCTTTTCCATTTAAAAAAAAATATTCAAACACTGATTTGGTGCAGCTTGTAATTCTCCATTATACATGCTCAGGCTTTCTAATATTAGTTCTCTATTATTATTTTTTGAGACAAGGCATCACTCTGTTGCCTAGGCTGGAGTATAGTGGTAAGATCATGGCTCATGGCAGCCTTGACCTCCAGGTTCAAGCAATCCTCCTGTCTCAGCCTCCCGATTATAGTCGGTTTTTATTGCTATTCAACTTTTTGGTCCTAAAATATGATGAAATTACCCAAAACAGATAAGACAGTTGGAGACCACATAGTAGGTCCTCAACTACTTCAACTCCCAAAAGAAATGACAAAGAAAAAAGAATAAAGAGTAACCTTATGTGCACTCTTGATGGAATAAGCTTCTAGTGAAATCTCTTGAAACTTCAGGAAGCCATGCATTATAATCATTATTATTAGAATTCTAATATTTTGTCTGCTAATGAAAACTTACACCCCCATGATTTATATAGCTGTACTTCAGAAAGTAAAGGCTCTTTCTGAAAAATGCACACACTAGCTTCCTTTTCTGTTTACCTTTCTACCTTAAATTAGAGATATTGCAAGGATTAGAACCAAGGGTGGTCCAGAGAGAAGAAACTACAAGAGAACTATGAACATCTCAAGGAAAATAGCGTTGAGCTCAATTATTAGTTTTAAATTAAGCTCCGAGAGGACATTCCTTACAATTATTCCATAATTATGTTGGATATTCTTCCCATTCTCCCTATCTTTGTTACTGAGTACTTTGTTTTGGTACTCCTTGGTTATGTCAATTATTGATTCTTTATCCACGAGAGCGGAAAAGAGTCTTGATCTAACGGAGTAGCCATCAAAAGAAAGAAGTCTGTTTCCTATTCCCGCACCCTCCCCCAGCTGTCCTCTTGCTTGAGGAAGTACTTACTGTAAAGCATTCCAATTTTTCTAAGCAGATCTTTTCCCTTTTTAAATTCTTTTCCTCTTTTTTTATTCCAGTAAGCTTTGTTTTGTTTTGTTTTTGTTTTTGTTTTTTTTTTTTTTTTTTTTTTTTGCTTTTTACATTAGCCATACATGACTGCTATCCGAATCCAACCCTCCTGAATTCTGCCCCTTTCCATTCTAAATCCGTAATCTGCACTAATAAGACATATTAGGTCTCATCACTGGACTAGAAGTTAAGAGTCATGCCTATTTAATCCTGCCTCCATCAAGAAGCCCCTGTAGGAAAAAAATACAGAAGCTGACCTTTCTCTGCGCCAGCCCCAGAACTGGTTTCCCAGCAATAGGCGCAAGGTACAACCCTTGTTGGAAACTCCCAGCCTTACTCAGGGGGAAAAACGGGGTTTTCCGGAGACCTGTTCCCCTAGTGTTTAAAAGCGCGTCCCGTGGGAGCTTCGCTTTCACTTCTCTAGGGAGTTCTGAGCTGCAAGAGCCCAGCTACTCGCGGAACCCCGGCCGCCTGCATGAGTAACTTGGGGCGGCCAGAAACACGCGAAGGGCGGACAGATGGACAGAGAGCCATTGGCTGCCTCTGAGACTGGCTATGGGCTGCCACCGCTGAGCGGCGCGGAGGCTGGAGCGTTCAGTCTCGGGACAGAAAGCAGGCTTAGGGACTGCTGCTAGGGGCAGCAGCAGTTTCAGGTTCGAGAGACTATGGGCCAGGATACTCAGGCGCGGCTGGCAGCTGCCCGTGGGAGAGCCAGTGCTCTCCTCAGGTGCAAAGTGCAAGGCTGGGTTATTCCCGGACGTGCCTTGGTGCAGGGGCCCCCAGCGCGTCCGAGACTGCCCCGGCGCGCCGGGCGCGCGAACTTGTGCGCAGGGGAGAAGAGAGCTTACCATGGAACATGGTCTGCGGGAGGCAGGCGTAGTCATGATGACCGCAACTGGAGCGGGAGCAAGCTCTCACCGCCCATAGTCACTCCCAGAACCCTGGTCTTCCGCGGAGTTGCCGAGCCTGTGAGTTTGTGCTGGGCAGGGTGATCTCTGCAGCTGGTTCCTCTTACCCACGCCGCGCCTGCTGTTTCATCCATCCCAGTGGGGGCGTCACACACCACGGCCTGGCTCCGCGCTTTGCCTTTTCCATAACTTCCGTAGGACCCGCCGGCAGCGTACTTTCAGTTTCTACTTTGCGCTTGGTCTGCAGGTTCAATCTTTGGGATCATCAGCAGGGAACCTTCATTATCCCCTTTCTCCTGGGCACCTGCTTCCCCCGTACCTGGAGGAGAATCACAGCCGGGCGCGAATTTCCAGATTACCGCAGGAGAAACCAGCTGGCCTGAATCAAAATGATTCTGGGTAAAAGTCTTTCCAGATGACCTCTCCAAGCTTTGGCAATGCTTGGCGACTGGGAGCTAGAACCATGAGTTGTTACTATGTGCACAGAAGCCACAAGTGTGCGGGACGCAAGCTGGGTTATTGGAAGCGGACGACACCGAAGAGGCGTTGCTGCGGATGTGGTGGACGATGCCAAGCCGTCTTGTAAAAAAAAGGAAGTGAAGAATGATTAAGAGGGTTACACCCTCCACCACTCCAACCTCTCTAATCAGTCTCTTTCCGCTCTGTCTTCTGTACACGTACCTGCTCAGGTGAGACCTCAAGGAAAAATAATCCCGTGGGTCCGCCTTATCTGGTAAGTGTTATATTTGGAAGATCAAACCTCAAATTAAATGGAGGATGTGGAAACTGGCAATAAAATTTAATAACTACGACTTGCACATGCACATTTATCTGAATTGGCTAATAAATCAAACTATCCATCTTGAATATGTGCCACTGACATGTTAATTTTTTCCTGGGTCTGAAATATGTAGCTTATTTGCTACATGACTTTGATTTCTGCTGTTCTGCAGAATCACCGCTTAGACGAAGGTGGATAATGTAAACTAGTAACAACAGTGATAATAATAACGACGATTTATCTAGCATTTGCTTTCCGCCAGTATTGTGCTAAGCATTTTGTGTATACCATCTCATGCAAAACTTTGTGTGAGATAGACCATTTACTTATCTGCACTTTATAGATGTGGGGACTGAGACTTCCTTAAGTAACTTGCCAAAGTTCACTTAGCTAACTGAGCTTAGACACAGATTTGCTGCGTTTGGGCTGTAGAAACTCCTGCTTGGAACTCCTGTGAATAAAGTAATAATGTGCACATTGATGCCGGAAGGGAGACGACAGCATGTGTGTGCCTTTGCCTCCGTGTGGGGACTTCAGGAAAGGTTTCTGGAATTTGTGACTTATTAATTGAAACTTGAAGAGGAATGAACTTGGGACTGGTAAGGAGTTTATCACATTCTGTTACAGTGTGAACAAGGAAGAGGAAAAGAGGAGGGAAGGAGAAAGAAAAAGAGGATGACAACAAACTAGTGAGAACAGAGTTACTCAAGCCTGGATTTTAGATCTTTGATTCCTCTTTTCGTCTTGCTTCCCACATCCAATCCATAGACAAGTTCTGTCTGATTCACCTTCAAAATAAACCCTAAGGTAACAATAGAGGTGGTCGAAAGGATCTTCTGGCTTTATTTTTACCCGCAACCCCTTCATTCTTCTCAGAGCAGCAGTATGTCTGATTCCACTTTGTACCCCGCCCTCTGACGACTTTCCACTGGGTACCAGACCCCCAGGGCCCTGGTGATCTGGGCCCTGCTGCCCTCTCTGACGTTTCCTGGCATCACATCACTATCCTTCAGCCACACTGGCCTTTCTCTTCCAGCCCCGCGTCCACTTAGTATGGTCTCTAGTCCGTGGCTGGCATTCAGTAAGTACTGCAAGTGACAGAGAAAGAGAGTACAGGTGAGTGGGAATGCATGAGTGAGTATGTGTGAAAGAGAAAGTGCATGGAAGAAGAAAATAGAAAAAAAGAGAAAGAGAAGGGGGGGAAGCAAATGGAAACAGGAGACAGAGTGGAGTGAGAAAAGTCATGTATTTCCATTTCTCTGGAACCTAGAGTGGGAGTTGGGGAGGGGGACAGACACGACACTGGAGTGGCTTTTAAAAATGAGTTCTATAATGAAACATGCCTAGCGTGGGGATTCATTTACTTATTTAAAATCCCTGACAGCAGCATTGAGGTATGTGACTTCATAGCCTGTACCCTCCCCACAACACCCCCCCTTTTTTTTTTTTTTTTGAACTTTCCAGGAACAAAGTAAAAGAGTACCTATCAATAACTTGCGCAAAAGGAAATCCTTTCTTTTTATCACAATCACCACAAATCCGGGCAGAATAAGGGTTGTGCATACCTGAACTTTTGGGAAGCATGAGGGGAAATTATTCAGAGCTGCAGGAGAGGCAATGTAAATGTTACACTGGATTCTGCCCCCAATTATAAAGAATCTCTCTGAAGAGAATATTCATAAAGCTTTGGGAATTGTTATGGTTATATGAAATGGGCACATTCTAAAAACATCAAGTAATGACTTTTCTGTCTATGAGATAATATCATTTAGAAAAAAATCCAAAATGAAGTTTTCAAATAGCTTTTGACATTTTGATAAAGTATATATTATTTTTTATAAGATAGATGGACAAGGATAAAATGTTTTCTAAAAGTTTAAAATGTTATTGTTTTATGATTAAAGAAATGGAGTGGTTACTATTATGTTTGCTCATAGACTCAATGAATTAGGCAGAAAAGCCTTTAAAGGGGACAAAATAGTAGATATATTTTAGGAATAATAGTAAATAAATGTTAAAAGGGAAGACAACATTCTGTGAATGATTAATATAATGTAATAGAAAAAGTACAAATAAAATTATATGATATCAATTTAAAGAGAAAATTATTGAACATTAACCAATATCTTTTAATGGTCTACAATTTTCAGTGAGAATAGTCAATTATTGTTAACCAGAAAATATTTTCTTGATTAATATCTGAACTATTTTTACTCAACCTAATATGACTACTTTTTACAGTCTGTGATCCGAATTCTATCAATCATTCTATCTAAGGGTAGTATGAAGTTCTTTTTATTTAACTTTCCAGTAATAATATTCAACATATTTCAAACACACACACAGCCACACAGCCAACATTATGGATATGTGATCTGTGTAGTTGCACAAGGGCTTGTGCTTCATTTGATGCTCTGCTGTCATCGTATTGAAATTCTTTATTTTTAGATAAAGGGACTCTTATTTTCACTTTGCAATGGGTTTCACAAATTCTATAATTGGCCATGCACACTCACACATGTTAAGTTACACATTGTGGACAGTACTGCATGTCTTTTAGGTGATTTCAGTTTGGTAGGAAAAACAGATGTTAAATGTTTAATTTCCAAGATGAAAATATTATTAAAAGAGAAACACAATTTTTAAAAAATCAAGTTTAAAGTAGTATAGACTCATTTTTATTGTTAAACAAAGGTCCAAAAAGGTTAATTTACCTGTCCAATGAACAAACAGCTATGAGGGGATTATCTGTAATTTAATAAAATTTAAATTTTATCAAATGAACATCTATTTAAATGGTCATGGTTTTTTTTTAATTGCACTCTGAAATAAACCATAAATTTAACATAATGCAACATTCAAATTGCTAATACTTAGAATTTTATAGTTATAGTCATAATCAGGATATGTTTATTTTTCATATTATATTCAACTGATATTGGGCTAGTTTTGTCAGGTTTTGCTAGTTTCATAAAAGGAATTGGGAATTCTTTTGTTTTCTAAAACTTTCAACGTTTAAACATTATGTGAACTATTTGTTTCTGGAAGACTTACTGGAGTTCAACAGTAAAACTTGATTCCATGGATGAAACCCAGGGGTAGGATGAGACTGTCAGTTTTAAGCATTACAAGTGTGAAAATGAAAAAAGGTTTATTTTGAAGGCTGAATCAAAATGGACATGTCAGACTGTCAGAACTTTGCTGGAGATGGGTATGTTAGCATATCACTGATGACCAGAGCCATGGAAATGAATGCACTTACTCAACCTGCATGTTAGAAGAGAGAAGAGAGAACTAATGCTAGCAGTAATCTTGAGGCATGAGCAACCCTAAAAAGTAGTTGGAGAAAGGGGTGTCCATCAACAAAACAGACAAATACATAGTAAACAGCAAAGTGGGAAGGCAGAAGTCAGGGTTCAAGAAGGCAACAGATAATAGAATTTCAAAATAGAATAAGTAGTCAGTATTTCCAGATGTCACAAAGAGGGTGAGATGAAAAGCGTGTCTGTTGAAGATGGAGATTGGAAAGTATGCTTGTTGAATTTAGCTGAGCAGAGACTGTCCATGGTCCTCATGGCACCAGTTTGAGAAGAGCAGTGTAGATGCAAGCAGTATTTTAGTTTGTGGGGGTTGAGACGAGAGCAATAAAGTAAGAGAATACTTTTACAAAATGTTAGATACGAATAAAAGGAATAGACTCATGATTTTTAAGGCATGGAAGCTTTTATTTTCAATTATGAGAAACATTTGAGCTTATTTATATATTAATTGATAAAATTAGGTTCTGCAGAACAGGGAAAGAACGGAACCAAGAAACCCAAGATACTCCATTGACTTTATTTTTCTTATTCTCTCTCCATTTCTCCCTCCTCTTTAATCTCAGTTCCAAAGTTCAATAATTCTAAACAATCAGAATCTACTCTATATCTAGGGCCTAAATTTATGTTCTTAACTGAAATGTTCCCATCAGCAATCGTCTACTTCTGGATTGAGTGTTGGCTTGTCTAAGAAAGAAGTCTAATAGTTCCCAAATCGCCTTTCAGAGAGGGCAGCTGTAACTTTTACAGGCATTGCATTATCCAATCCCTTCATATGCTAATGTTGCATTGTTGGCACACAGGGGGTTCTTTTATATACAGTCTTGCATCATTTAACAGTATATTCTGAGAAATAATAAATTAACCTTGCTTACTGTAACTTTTTAACTTTATAAACCTTTAAATTTTTTTTCAACTTTTGACTGGTGTCATAACATTTAGCCTAAAACACAAACACATTGTACAGCTGTTCAAAATATTTTCTTTCTTTATATCCTGATTCTATAAGCTTTTTTCTTACTTATTAAACGTTTTTGTTAGAAACTAAGACACAAACACACATATTAGCTTAGTCCTACACGGGGTCAAGCTTAGTCCTACACGGGGTCAGAATCATCATCACTGTCTTCCATCTCCACATCTTGTCCCACTGGAAGGTCTTCAGGGACAACAGCATGCATGGAGCTGTAATTTCCTATGATAACAATGCCTTCTACTGGACTACCTCCTGAAGGAGCTGCCTTAGGCTGTTTTACAGTTAACTATTTATTTTTTAAATAAGTAGAAGGATAAGGATAAGGATAATAAGTCTAAAATAATGACAAAAGTATAGTAAAAACATAAACCAATAACATAATTGTTACGTTATGTATATAACAGTATTATATGTGCTATAAGTATAATATTGTATGTGCCATACTTTTTATATTATACATACAATATTGTATTATATATACAATAATATTATACATGCAATGTTGTATGTACTGTACAGTATTGTATGTGCTATACTTTTGTAAGACTGGAAGTGCCGTAGGTTTGTTTACACCAGCATCACCACAAACACGTGAGTAATGAGTTGTACTAAGTTGTTACAATGGCTACAGTGTCACTAGATGATAGGCATTTTTCAGC